ACGACGGAAGAAGAAGGATGATGAGCAGGGGAGGACAATAAGAGAAGAGGCGGAGCAGATCAACAGCTACAGGAAACACGTGCACACTTTTCTCCGTCGACATGCCTCCATGAGTGCGGCCATGCCGGCACGTCCCAATCCCTGAGTGCACCCAACCGCCCCAAAACTCCACCAGGACTCTGGACACAGGTGGTGTAACTTCATTTTCTTCTGCACCGTTTCGTTAACCTCGATGGAACACACACACACACACACACACACACGCACACACGCACACACTGACACACACACACACACGCACGCACACACACACACACACACACACAAACACATACACACACACTTTTACGCACACACACACACACACACACACACGCACACACACACACACACACACACGTACACATGATGTTCCCCAGGAGTTGCACGAACCAACTGGTTGGGGTCCACGAAGCTGGCATCATACGTGTAAGAATTGCGCGAACACCCGTGCAAAAGGTGTTGCGCACTAAATGAAGTGTAACCTTCACGGACGCTTCTCGAACACAAACTCTCTGGGGACCCACTCATTCACAATAAAATCTGGAAGTTGGGCCGCCGCTTACGATGTGAGTATCGTCCGACGGTGTGGTCAAAAAGCGTTTCTGGAAACGCGCAGTTGCTGGGGTTTGCCAATCGCGTGAATCAGCCCGGCGGCTCCAATATGGCTCCACCAAGGGCCCCCCTCGGCGGCACATTTCGCCCAACTGCGCGCGCAAGGCAGCCCGCGCAGGCGGGCGACCGAGACACGAGGGAAACGCGCGACACGAGTCTGCTCACCCGAGGGGTAAGACAACGACAACAAGGATGGGGGGGACAAAGGGGAGGAGGCAACCTCACGAAAACAGAAACCAATATTCGTTCGGGTTTTGGTGTGCTAACTCGCTCGTTGGCAATCGCGGGATGTTCCTGGAGAACGCACTCCATTTCCCAACGGGGAGGGAAAACGGTCTTGCATTGGGTCCTGGGCGGCCAGCGGGCCTAGTCGTAAGGGTCAGCATTCAGACTCACGAGCCCCACCTATCCGAACTGCACACACACACACACACAAACCAGCGCGCAGCGCTAGATATAGCGCGAAGCGATCCAAATATACATGGAGGTCAATCGAAGAACTAGCAAGCAAGAGCACCCTGCCCAGGGACGAAGCCAGCCTTTCCGCGGCATCAAGTTCAGCCTGCGTCACATTGCAAAAATCAGAGAAACACCACGCGGCCGTATATACGTTAATACACTTACAGTGTAAACCGTCACGCGATATCACCTCGATGTCAACCCATGCGACGCAACCGATTCCAAGCACCGCGACGCCACCATCCCAGGCAAGCCGACTGGCAACAATAATATATGCAGTATTTAAAGTACTGTGCGAAGAACTCACGTACATATGCATATCTTTCACGGGCTGCATGTGTCAGAGCATCGGCACGAGTGTTGTTTTTTTTTCTGAAATCCCACCAGCCCTTTGGGCGTGAGTGGTTTAGCGAGCTCTCTCTGTTCTCAACCCCCCTTCTTCCCCTTCGGGGAGGGGTTTACCCCTCCCCCTACCCCCTCCCCCTGGGCCTGGAGAGGGACCCCCGCGGGTGGCCAGGGGGGTCTTTTTCCACTCCTGGGAGGGTCAAAAAACGACGACCCTCACGAGGATTGTGGCCCCGACGGGGGACCGAGATTGGCCCCGTCTGCTCTTCTTTGAAGCCAAAATCATTGATTTTACGGCGGTGTTGGCCCCATGTTGGCGTCCTGAGGGGGCCGCGTTCATCTTCCTTCATAGCAAAATTGCTGATTGTACGAAGGTTTTGGGCTCATGTTGTCCTTTTTCAGGGGGCAGCTCTCACTGGCGTTTCTGAGGAGGTCGCACGAGGCCCCAAGATGGCCCCAAGAGGCGCCCAGGAGGCTCCCAAGAGGCCCCCAAGAGGCTCCCCAGAAGCCTTCAAGCGGTCCCAAGAGGCTCCAAAGAAGCCCCCAAGAGGCCCCCAAGAGGCGTCAAGAGGGCCCACGAGGCCCTCAACAGGCTCCCCAGAGGCCCCCAAGAGGCCCCCAAGAGGCCCCAAGAGGCTCCAAGAGGCCCCCAAGAGGCCCCACGAGGAGCCCCAACGACTCACACCAGGACGAGGGGCCCGAACGACTCACACCACGAAGAGCCCGAACGACTGCTACTGCGTACGAGTACTACTACTGGTACTGTTAATGGTAACACGACGATTCCTACTTCTACTATATCTAGAGCTACTACTACTACACCCCGAAATACTCATGTAATCACTCCATCTACTACACCTATACCTGCTGCTACTACTATGACTACGACTATTACTACTACTACTGCTGCTACTCCTCCTACTACGACACATACTAATACAATTTCTACTAGAACCCATACTACTACTATTACTACTCCTACTACTACTATTCTGACTACTACTACAATACAACTACCACTACTACTACCACCACTACTACTCTAGCGAAGCATGCCGACCGTGGTGTGCTTCAGGCGTGTCTCCGCGTGCCCTCGCACATATCCCCTGCGTCTTCTTCCTCATGCCTCTTCTTCTACCTTTCTACATCTATTTTGTTGGGGGGTCCACGAGGAGGAACAGGAGGAGGGAGAGAAGGCGATGGGAGCCTAGACAGAAGACGGCCCTCCTCGAGTCCTACACGTAACCGACTCAGACGACTCACACGACGGCGACCTCTCAGACGATGATGGCGGCGACGACGCCGACGACGACGACGACCATACTTACGATGACAACGCCGACTTCGACGACGACGATTGAATGGACGACGGCGTCGACGATCCAGCGATCTTACCTGTGCAGTTCTGCAGTGCGCACGCGGCACAAGTGACTACCCTGCTCAGGCTCGCAGCTCTGACCTGCACCTGCAAGGCAGGTTCGCCCATCAAGTCGGGCGCGGGCAGCAGGCGGCAGCTTAGGAGGGAAAGGTGGAAGAGGAGCAGAAAGGGAAACTCGCCTCCAAGATCGGCCCCGTCGAACAGATCTAAGGAATCACGGAACTCAGAGTGTGCACGTCCTGGACCAGAATGCAGGTGGTGTGAGTACTTGGGGCCCCTCGCCCTGGTGTGAGTCGTTCGGGCCCCTCCTTGTGTGAGTCCTTCGGGCCCCTCGCCGAACGACTCACACATCGAGGAGGGGCCCGAACAACTCTGGCCAGGAGGGGGGGCCCGAACGACTCATACCAGGAGGAGAGCACCGAACGAATCCACTGCACCGGGGTAGCAGCCACACCCACGGAGATAACTGCCTGATCTCCCAGTGTGGCACAGTAGCGATACCACCCATTACTGTTGCAGCGATGCATCACAAGGTACCCCCAGTACTGGACGAGAGAACATAAACCATCTCAGCCCAGTGTCGGACACCCGAAGGCACCCAGCAATCACCAAGACTCATTGATCTTACTACGATTTGGAGCCACTTTCGCATTCTGAGGGGGCAGCGCCCATGAAGACTCCCCTCGTCCTTCAAGGCAACATCATTCATTACACGAAGCTTTTGGGCTCCATTTCCTCTTCTGACGGGAAGAGGCTCCACGATGTTTTCACGAGGCCCCCAGGTGGCCCCCAAGAGGCCTCCAAGAGGCTCCCAAGATGCCCCGCAAGAGTCCCCGAGAGGCTCCCCCGAGGCACCCAAGACGCTCCTGGAAGCCACTGGGGCCGCCAAGAGGCCCCCAAGACGCCCCAAACGCCCGCCACGAGGCTCCCATGAGGCCTGAAGAGGCTCCCCCAAGCCACCCAAGACACTCCTAGAAGCCCTTGGGGCCGCCAAGAGGCTCCCAAGACGCCCCAAAAGGGGATCAGGTGCCCGAATGCCTCACGCCGCGAGGAGCCCGAACGACTCACACCAGGACGAGGGGCCCAAACGACTCACACCACGAAGAGCCCGAACGACTCACACCAGAATGAGGCGCCCGAACGACTCACAGCAGGAGGAGGCGCCCGAACGACTCACACCACGAGGAGCCCGAACGACTCACACCACGACGAGGGCCCCGAACGACTCACACCACGAGGAGCCCCAAGGAGTCACACCAGGAGGAGGAGCCCGAACGACTCACACCCGGTTGCGGCGCCCAAACAACTCTCACCACGGGAAGCCCGAACGACTCACACCAGGACGAAGAGCCCGAACGACTCACACCAGAACAAAGGCAGTCACTACCATAGCCGACATCGGAGGCACCACCGAACCCAAGCCAACAGGAACCGGCTAAGGAACCAGGACCCAGGAGAGCGAGATCCCAGGGACACGACTGAAACGAATCAAACGAGGCAGAGGCGGAGGAGGAGTACTGTGAAGAGGACACACATGTGTTCGCATCGAGCGCTGTGTCACAAGGTACTGCCATCAATGAACCAACACTGAGTCGAGTCACCAGCACCATCACCTGCCAGGGTAACACACACCCGCACACAGTATAGCAACCACAGATCATGGTAATCAGCACGAGAAAACTCAAGTACGGGCCCTGCCAGGTTGCCATACACATTCCTCCAGCGATGTGTTTCCTATATTAGAACTCATCTGCAGCGCCACGGAAGCAGAGCAGCAGCACATCCACCATTGGATACATACCGAAGTTCCAACCATGTATACAGAAACCACGGACTCCATTGAGGCAACATCCAGTGTCCAGCCTCACTGTATCCAGAGATATATTCTCATAGCAGCGTGAAATCCATAGTGGTAAGTATGGGCCTCACCAGTCCTGGAGGACAGACTATAAACTAAACGTAATCTTCGCACCAATGAACCATCACTGAGTGTAAAATCCAGCACTTTCACCAGAACAGGATAATCAGCACCATCACAGAGTGCGCTAACCAGCACCCGAGAAAAAAATACGGGCTTCAGCCGACTACAATACAAGTCCCACCAGCAAGCTGTTGCCTATAGTAGAACCCACCTGAAGCGTACGGGGTTCAGCTGAGTGGAGTA